CTCTCTATTCCTCTCTCCCCCCTCTCACACACACACACACACACACACACACACACACACACGAGTGCAAGCCACGCAAACTGGCCCAAGGCCGAGTTTCCGAAGGTGCTGGCCTCTCAATTACACACGTAGGAGTTCATTACGCTTGCCGCTCCCCTTTCGCTAAGGTGTCCGACCTAGGCCCGCTCGTTTTATTTTCATGCATTCTGCAGACCCTTTAGTGAGATGGGCCCACAGGATGGAGGGAAAGAGGTTTGAGCTGCTCGGTCTAATGATAGGGTTTAGTTTCCTTTCTTTGAAACTATCTGCCTTTTCTTGGTCTATTACCAGTTGACCGCATGTCAAGATATTTAGGTGGCTCAACGGGGTAGTAGTGTATCTCTTCTTGTGTTTTATTGAGGCATTAAACTCAGTTTAAGTCCCCTCCACCTCCGTATATTTGGGTCTTGTGCCGGAAGTTTGAAAAGAAATACGTAAGCGCCCCCCCATTAGTGATTTGACTTGAACGAGCTGATCTTAATGCTTTCAGAATTTTTTTTCTTTTTATTGAGTTTATTGGTACATTCTAGGTATACAGTACAGTTACGTTCATTACTGCGATCTTGTACCTTTATATGACAGGTCTTGGTTCTCATTTTTTCCCCTTGTCCCTGCCCTCCCTTCACCCTCTCCTCCCCTCCCCATTTACAAACACTTTATTTCCATTTTTTCATTTTCTCATATTTTTTTCTTTTCCCTTATTCCCTTGCCCCTACCCTTCCCACTTTCCCTACACTTTTAGTCCTTTTCTTTCTATTTCACATTGTTAATTATCTCATTAGGATCTTGTGCTATTATAGTTTTTCACCCCAGAGAAACTATGAAATGATATTCTCTATTCTGACTCCATTGAATGTTAACCCTGAAAATAGCACAAGAAAGTATACAAGATTATTAGTGCTTGAAGGCAAAAAGTAGAAATCTACTAATGATGTTTAATGTGAATTGTCCTGGGAACAAAAATAGTTGAAAAGACAAATGTTTTTGTTATTGAAATGGTGGGAATGGAACCCAGGGCCCGTTCATGCTAGGGAAGCTCACTACCACTGAGCTACCAGTTACCTAGGACCCAGAATTTTCTTATCTTTTTCAGAATTTTCTTTTTAAAAAACAGTGCTTGATGCTATTGAGCCGAAATTCCCTCTCTCTTCCTCCTTCACTCCCCTTCTTTTCTCTGTCTTTAACTAGTGAAAGAGGTTAGGAAACAATTTTAAACATCTAGTACTTGTTTGGAATTACCTCCCCCCAATTGTTTTGTTACAAACTGTCACATTATATAGAAATTTAGATGTTTAGGAGGAGGGAAAAAAAAAAAAGATGGGTAGCCTAAAGAGTCTTACAGGACTTTTTCTTTTAAAAAATGACTGTCTTGACTGATAGTAGTAGAGATATGTTTAATAATTTACTGCCAAAATGTACTTTTATATTTCAGCATAAATCCACTGTGTAATTTACCTGCCTCTCTTTCAGAGCAGTGATATTACAGTGTGTGTGTGTGTGTGTGTGTGTGTGTGTGTGTGTGTGTGTGATAGTAGAGATTGAACCCAGGGCCATCGCACTGAGCTACATCCCTTTAGTCCATTTTTTATTTTTTATTGTGACACAGTATCACTAAGTTGCCCAAGCTGGGTTTGAACTTGTGATCCTCCTGCCTTGGCCTCCAACAGAGTTGAAATTGTAGGCTGGTGTACAACCACACCAGGCTTATTATTCATTCTTAAAACTAATTTACAATACTAAAAGTCTTTATAGTATTAATCTGTGGTATTCCAAAATTTTGTTTCCCACAGTCCCAAAATACAAAATGTCTTATTAAATAGAGTGAAAAGGAAGATTCTTTAAAGTCCAAAATACTAAAGTAGTACATTTTGTTTAAAGGAAAACCCATAGTAATTACTCTATTGATATTTAATAGCAGATTTGCCGTCATTTTCCCATGTTAGCACATTTTTTATTCCTTCTATTTTTCACATGCTTTATGTTGCTACATAAGTGTTAGGAAAACTATGTCAAGAGAAAAATAACAGCTCAATCCATGTGACACATATGGCCTTTTAAGGCTAAAAAATGGAAGTTTACAGTGTACTACTTTTCTTGACTCCCTACTGCCTTCATCTCTTCACTTAATTGTAAATCTGATCTAAGATAACTGCTTATATAGTTGCTTTAAAAAAACAAAAGAACTTGAAAGTTAGAAGGCCTAGCAGTTATTTACTATGTCTAGAAATAAATTACTATTTCTGGAATTATTCCTGTATAAAAATAATCTGACGATCATGGTACAGGCTAGAGGTACAGCTTAGTGGTAAGAGTGCTTTTCTTGCATGTGTGAGACTCTAGATTTGATCCCCAGCACTGCAACAAAAAACAGCCGGATGTGATGGCCAATGCCTCTAATTTCTGCACTGTGGGGCATGAGTCAGGAGGCTTGCCACCAGTTTGAGGCCACCCTGGACTATATTAGTGAGTCAAGGCTACCCTGAACTACATAACCTGGACCCCTCAACCTTATCCCCCCAAAACACATAATGTGTTTGATCTTCTGTGTGGACTTGTAATATGGGCAATCTAGTTTGTCTCTTCACTTGACAGTACAGATAGGAGTAGAAATGAGTTGATTACTCAGTAGAATTGACAGTTGATTACTTAATAAATAATAGAGTAGTTCACTTATACTACCTTTCTCTGCAGCAGGCTCCATGGAAATCTCTGTGGCATAATTAATAGTACTATATTGTATTTATTAGCAAATAGTTCAACTAGTTGTCACATTTAATGTTGTTAATACAGTAAAAATTGTTATGCTCCAGATTTTCTAAGTTGTCTGTTTCAAAATTATTTTCTAGGTAAAGGCAGACCTAGAAGAAAAGATAGGCTTTAAAAGTAGAAGAAATCTTAATTATTGCCCTTATGTAATGGTGAAGAGCAGAATTACATTATGATCAAATCTTAATCTTTGTGGTTTTTTGTTTTGTTTTGTTTTTCTGTTCTTGAGACAGGGTCTCTCTGTGTAGTTCATGCTGTCCTTGAACTCACTGTGTAGCCTAGCCTAGTCTCAAATTTAGCAGTAATCCTGCCTCAGCCTTCTGAGTGTTGGGATTACTGACGTGTACCACCATGCCTGGTTTTTATGCTATTTTAAAAACAAAATTTTTTTAGTTGTGTTTGAACAAAATTTGTACCTTTAGTAGATTGTTTCTGTGTGTAAAGCCTATGAGTTTCTGTGTGCTACAGTATGTACAACCAATGAGTTGTCAGTTTAAGAAGTGTTTCATCACAGAAAAGTAGTTTGGGCTTTACTGTGAAATGTCATACTTAGTTAAAATTGTAAATAGATTTCAGGATAAAATTAGTATAACCCTAACCCTAGCCCTAAAAGTCTAATTGTTGGCATAATATTGTTTTTTTAAAGGCTATTTCTCTATAACCTCTTCTTAAATTTTATTTTACTTGTTTTTGGTGCTTTAGGACTGGTCTTGTTAACACTGACTATACAACCTATTATACTGGTCTCGAACTCATTGTGCTCCTCCTCCCTCAGCCTCTAGAGTGCTGGGATTACAGGCATGTGCCACCATGCCTGGCTATGTAATCTCTTAATCCTTTACTTGCCAATCTATTTGTGTTAGCTTTTTTTTTTCCTTCTCATTCTAGCTTTTTGTCCTGTGTTATTACTTTTGGGAAGGTCATCCCCTAGAACATCTTTTCTTTTTTCCACAAGTAAGTCCCTCATCCACTGTAACAAAATGCATTCAGTAAAGTAAATTAGCAGACAGGGAAGACCCCCGCCATACCAGGGATGGAACTCAGGACCTTGCACTTGCCAGACAGGCGAGGTACCACTGAGCTACATCCTCAGCCCAAATAAAAATTTTGATAGTCTGCCAGTCTTTTCCTGTCTCCTTATAACAGCTGAGAACTTGAGATGCAGACTCAATCATTGATTTAATGCAAATAGAAGCAAAATTATTGAAAAACATCTTGCTTTCCAAACCTGCACACACACACACACACATTTCTCTACTGTTGAGATTATAATTAGCTCATCACTCTTTCTTGAAAATTTGTAAACCAAAGTATGACTTTAAATGGCTTTTACAGGTAGTTTAAAACAAATGGTAACTAAGCTTTCAGAGTGGAATGACATTACTCTAGGAGACAGCCCTGAAGTCCTTGAAGCTTTTTTTTTTTGCAACTCTTAAGATTGTGTTGCATAAGGAACACATCTCAGTCAAATAACTCTAGGCTGTGTTAACATTGTGGTTTGAGTAATAATGTTATTCATGGTTAGGTAGTTTGTATGATTAGTACTACATTATTGAGAATATCAGAGTCTCTTAGCCAGATGTATTAATGTACTGCTCACAACCTAGTTTGTGTAAAATTATTTGTTGATCTTCTAAACAGCAAAATTCCACAAATGAGCAGATTATTGTACATTTATATAGTAGTGTTGAAGGGTCTTTACTTTTTGTGAACTCTATGTTTATAATTTTAAATTGCTCTGTATTTTATGCTAGTTAATTCATGGGAACCTCTTCTACTGCCACACAATCTCAGTTCCTGCTATATACTCTAACAAACAGTGGAAGAGACTTGGGTCAGTAGGTGACAACTGCAGAGGTATCTTCCTTATAACGATGCTTTTTGAGGTTGCTGCTCCCATCAATCTGCTCAGTAAAAATAGCTCATCTTGGTAAGTTGTTTCGACTTCACCAGGACCTGAAGAAGAAGCAGAAAAACCTGTGAAAACTAAGACTGTTTCTTCCAGTAATGGAGGGGAAAGTTCCAGTCGCAGCGCTGAAAAGCGATCAGCTGAAGAAGAAGCTGCAGACCTCCCAACAAAGCCTACAAAGATCTCCAAGTTTGGATTTGCCATAGGTAGTCAGACAACAAAGAAAGCATCAGCTATATCCATCAAACTTGGATCAAGTGTGAGTGATTATTTTATGTATTATGTTTTTCAGGGTCTTAAGGATTTGTTTTTGAAACCTGCTTTTTAACTAGATTATGATAAATTAAGTATAAAAAGTATATTGCTTGATTTTTGTATGAGCTTACACATAAGTATTTTAAGAAGTGATTAGAAACTTGTGTAGCGGGGCCGGGGATTTAGGGGGATTTAGCTCAGGGTTCAGTGGCCTGCCTTACAAGCTCAAGGACCTGATTTCAATCCCCATTCAGTACCAAAAAAAAAAAAAAGTGTAGAAAAGGTCTGGCTGCATTAGCCTCAAGTGGTTTAAAAAAATACATGTAAGCTGGGTGTGGTGGCACACACCTGTAATCCCAGCACCTGGGAGGCTGAGGCAAGAGGATCTGCAGTATTTCAAGATCAGCTACATAGTGAGTTCAAAGCCAGTGTGAACTACATAGTGAGACCCTGTCTCCAACAAGCAAAAAAATTACATGTAATATTAGAAGGAACAACTACTATAGAAAATACTTGACATAAAGTAATAACAAAATTTTTCTGAGTTGAGCAAATCCTCTTAAAAATATTTTCAGAATAAAGTTTTTTATTTCTTTCAGCTTCAGTAGTAGTAAAAATCTTTCCATGGGGTTGGGTATAGCTCAGTGGTAGAACATGTGCTTAGCTTTCAAGAGGCCTAGGGTTTGATCCATAGCACCACACACATAAAACGATAACATGTCTAGAAATCAGTTACTTCTATTTAAAAAGATTAACAGCCAGGCTTGGTGGTGCATGCCAGTAATTCTAGCACTCGGTAGGGTGTTTGAGGCAGGAGGATAGTCTCATGTTCGAGGCCAGCCTGAACAACATAGTGAGACCCTGTCTCAAAAAAAAAGAAGACTAGTATTAGTAAGGTATTACTTGATAAGAGGAGCTTCCTGGTTATCTTTGGAACTGCAAGTGAACATTGGTTACTCTGATAAAACTTAGGACAGTAATGCTTTGTATATCAGTGTTTGATCCCTTGTTGTAAGTTGTAAACCATGAATTAGTACTAACCATGGAACCTCTAGAAGAGTTTGAAATAGTAGATTGAAGCTTATGAAGTTGTAGATACTTGTTTCTAGCGTATGGTATGACAGTTTAATATAGTTCAACAAGTCTTATTTAAGAAATTAAATAGTGTATTGCCACTGACTTTAGAAAAGGTTTACATTTTTGTGAGATAAGGAAGAGCTTAAAATTACTTTAAATTGCTTATTCGTGTTTTGTGAAGGTGAGTGCTTAGTTGTTGGATGGAGACAGCTTTATTTTTGCCAGAAATGTTCATTTAGATATTTTTTGTTTTTTGAGACAGGGTCTTGTGTAGTTTGGACTGGCCTTGAACTCACTCTGTAGCCCAGCCTGGCCTTGAACTCTTGGAGGTCCTTCTGCTCCACCTCCCAAGTGCTGGGATTATAGATGTGTGCCACCATGCCTGGCCATTTAAGTATTTTTAAAATATGCCCTAGATCAGTTTCCTGCAAACATCAGTTTGAGTCATCTTCAGAGTTTTGTTTTGCTTCATTTTTGTTTGCAGTGCTGGGGATAGAACCTAGGTCCTTGCACACTAAGCAAGTGCTCTGTCACTGATCAGTATCTCCAGCTTTTATTCTGGTTTAAAAGATACCATTAACTCAGGATCCCCAATTCCCATCCCATGTTCTGTGTTTTGCCTTTTTCCTCTTCTCCCTTTAAAAAAAATTCTGTCTTACTAAAAGACATTTATCTCATAATATTGCTACTTTATTAGTATTTTCTTTATTTCCATTGATTCTTATTGAGTAATACTTTTTAAAAAGTTGCACAGACCTGTTCGATCCCTGGTACAAAAAAAAAAAAAAAGTTGCATAGACCTAACTCAATATTTTGATAATATATTAAAATATGTATATTTTTGTATATAATGCTAACATAGATGGTCTCCTTGATGATAGATTTTACTGTGCTTAGACATACTCCCTAAATACAAATCCCTACTTTTTTTGAATCATTGGCATGACTTAGTAATTACTGATCATTTTAAGTGGAAAAATTATTCTTGGAAAAGCCTGGTCAGTAAAACCTTTTAATTTTGTGGCAGCCTGAAGCTAGGGCATCCCGTGTCTTGGAAGGGGTCAGAGGAAAGAGTTTCCTATCCCAAACCCTCTTTTTGAGTACTAGGAATTGAATCCAGGGCATCATGCATGTTGGTCAAGAACTCTGCCGCCAAGCCATGCATGCAGCATAAACCTTTTAATTTTGCAAAACAAAAGCTTATTTAAACTATAATCCTTTTGAGGAAGTAAGGTATAGGATATTAAAAGAATAGTTATATAGTTAGTGTCAAGGGCACCCATCTATATATAATCCCATTGGCCTGGAAGCCTGAGGCAAGAGGATTCAAAGTTTCAGTCCAGCCTGGGCAATTTAGTAAGACCCTGTCTCACATTTTTAAAAGGGTTGGGGGCTATTGTGGTTTTTCCTCACGATAGCCACCATGCTTTCTCCAGAGTATACTTTTGTCTTGCTTTTTTTTCTCTTTTATTCAGCCCAATTTTGTACAGAGCCAGTTTCTCCCTGACTTGTCTCTTTTGCTTTTGCAAATAAATTTGGCAAAAAGGGTTGTGGAGCTGGGTATGGTGGTGCACTCCTGTAATCCCAGCACTCGGGAGGCTGAGGCAGGAGGATCGCTATGAGTTCGAGACCAGCCTGGGCTACATAGTGAATTCCAGTTCAGTTTCAACTACATAGTGAGATGCTGTCTCAAAAAAAAACCAAAAATAAATAAATAAATAAATAAAAAGGGGTTGTGGATGTAGCTTAGTGCAAAAGTACTGGTTCAATCCCCAGTACCAGAAACAAAAATGAAACTTTTGCTTTAATTATGTGGTATGAAAAATGATTGATCAATCAGTGCCTTTTTTTGCCTTATATTGTGTCTATAACATTAAATATATAACATCTTTAAAAGTAAAGGGTATTTCTAGAGTCACTATGCGTATTCTCTAATATTTTTTGTTCCTTCAAAAGCAAACATTCTAAAAAGTATGTATATGTATGTGCATAGAAGAAAGATGGCTTTGTTTGAGCATAGCAAAGAAAACTTTACTGATGATGTGGTATATGAGTTGGACTTAAATTCAGGCAGGAGGCAAAAAGACATTTCAGGCACAGGCAGCTTGGAGGTGAAAGTATGATACATTCAGAAAATTGTTACGGTGTTTGATAATAGAGTTTGATTTTTAAATTTAGATTATAGAGAGCATAGAACTATTATAAGGAATCTTGAGACTTACACAGATTTGCATCTTAGAAACATCACTCTGGTACCAGTGCAGAGGGTTAGTTAGAAGAATAAAAACACAAAAAGTCAGGAGGTGGCATTTCTAGACTAGTTGAGTCACACTAAGGGATTTGAGTTGGTAGCATGCTAAGGTAATGGAAAGGCAGGATAGTTAAGTACACCTATAATCTCAGCACTGGGAGGCTGAGGCAGGAGGATTGCTGTGAGTTCAGACTGGGATACACAGTGAGTTCCAGGGCAGTCTCAACCTACATAGTAGTGAGACCCTGTAAAAAAAAAAAAAAAAAAAAAAAAAAAGTGTCTAATCACCAGGACCTTACAAGTTTAAGGAAAGGTTTCTGGCTTGAGTCTTTTGAAAACTATGGAACTGAAGTACTCATGGCTACTCTTAAGTGGAGCTATCCAGTACACAGGTGACATCCAATTGGGGGTAGACAAGGGATTTGGTAGTTGAAACTATGGAAATGAACAGAAATGACCAGAGAAGGAAAGGTTACTAACAGAACCCGAGGTAGGTCTATCTTCTTGTTCCGGGGATCAAACTTGGGACCTTGTGCTTGTGAGGTAAGTGGCAGAACCACTAAGCTAAGTCCTGGGCCCGTGGTATCTCTATCTTGAGAATGCAGAGCAACAGAGAAGAGAGCAAAGAGACAAAAAGTCTGAGAATTAAGAGAATAACCAATAAAAAAGCAATGTCCTAGAAGTTAAAGGAGCAGTGTTTCAAGTAGTAGCTATTAAAAGCCGGGCGTGATGGCACAGGAGCCTGTAATCCCAGCACTCTGAGAGGCTGACCAGCCTGGGCTACATAGTGAGTTCCAGGTCATTCTCAACTACATAGTGAGACCCCGTCTCAAAAAACCAAAAACACAAAACAAAACAAAAAAAGAAGTAGCTGTAAGCTAAGTAAGTGGCACATGCACGTAATCCCAGCAAGTGGGGAGGCTGAGACAGAAGGACAAGTTCAAGGTCAGCTATGCAATTTAGCAACACCCTGCCTCAAAATAAAATGGGCTAGGAATTTATAGCTCAGTGGTAGAGCATTTTCCCAGCATGAGCAAGGTTCTGCATTCAGACCTCAATATGTAAAAGTAAGAAGCTAGTGTAAATCAGATGCAGGGTACTGGTCATTGGTGATCCTACAGGGGATAATTTCAGGGAAACTGAGGTTGGGAGCCAGATTACAGTGGGATAAACTAAATGGCTGATGAGAGAATAGAAATAGTAAGAACAGTTTACTTTATCAAAAATTTAGGTTGCATAGATTAAGTAGATGAATGTTTACAGGCAAAAGGATAGCAAGCTACACCCAGGTGTGGCAACACACAAACATGTAATCCCAGCACTTGGGAGGCTGAGGCAGGAGGATCACCATACCAGCCCTGGGCTACAGAGTGAGTTCAAGGACAATCTGAACTACATAGCAAGACCCTGTGCTAAAATGGTAAAAAGCTAACTAGTGGAAAAATATGAGTGTGTTCATAAGGTAGTTTGTATTTTAATGTTCATGTGGGAAAATATTATTAATCATTTTCTCAACTATACCAAGTACCTTTTAGGTTTAGTAATTTTATAGATCTTAGATAATTTTTTTTTGACAAGAGAGAAACTAACAAATTAGAATAGTGAAAATCCTACCCAATGATAACTCACATTTTTAGAGATGATGGATTTGTCTAAAACGCTGTGTTTCTTACAATAGAAGTTTATGAAAGCATAAGGTTGAATATTTCAAGATAAATTATTCATATAATTAAACCTATAAAAATGTTACTTATATGATGTTCTTTTTATTATGTTTCCTCTTCAGAAGCCTAAAGAGACTGTTCCAACTCTTGCTCCAAAAACCCTTTCAGTAGCAGCAGCTTTTAATGAAGATGAAGATGTAAGTTAATACTAGTTTTATTTTACTTTTACCAGTTCGTTAAGGAAAGTATTAATGGCATATTTTAGGTTGAATTAATGTTATTACTAAATTTCTTTTAAAATTTTGTGACACCTACAAACACTTTTTTTTTGTACTTTATTTGATTGTAGGATTGTGTTAAAAATAGTTGACTTGGGGCAAGAACTTTAATCACATTAGCAAATGTTTATTATGAATAATAGTATATGGAAGCAGGTAGGACCAAAAAAAGAAAAATGTACTTACTAGGTAGTATTTAAATACATCCTTATATTTGGAGGACTTCATTGATGATACATTGTCCTTGCAAAACGCAGCTATAGTAGTCACTTTCCATATGTAAGAATAGGTAATTCTGCCCAAACTTCGTAGATCCAGAATGAGTAAAGATGCCTGTTGGCTATTCTGTCAGTCCTATTTCTCTCATACCCCTCACAGTCCCAATCTTACCATGCTTATCAGTGACTAGTCGAATTTTCAAACATAATTATGATTCAAATTTGTTTTATTAGAAACTAACCCCATTTAAGATATGACCTCTTTGTGTAATAATTAAGTGTTAAAAGGTATATGAGTAACAATCAAAAAGCCAAAAACTATATGAATAAGAATTATATGAATCACCAGGACTGGGAGAAAAAAATAAGCCAAAGAAAACCAAATCTGTCTTACTGGACATGGTGGCACTTGGCCTGTAATCCTAGCACTAGGGGATCACTGGGGATTTAGCGGAGTGTAAATGCTCTGGCTTCAGTCCTCAAAAATTACACAAATTTCAGTCACAAATTAGAAGAGCATGAACACTGGGAATGGAGTGATTTGAGAAGAATTGTTATGTATATATAATGAGAAGCAATATAAACTGGCTCCTAAAACATTAGGCAGAAGTTTGGTAAACCAAAATTCTCCATTGGTTTTGCTCATTCTACATATTTGAGTACTTTCCATATACTAGGCATAGTGATTATGAAATAAATTAGACATTTTCCTCTAGGAACAACCTAGTAGGACAGAAACATATGTAAGATATTAAAAATTTTAAAAATCAGAAGTGCCCGAAAGACATAAAATACCGTGGACATTCAGGAAAAAAAGAATAGATGCCAGGTACTAGAAGAGCAGCATGGAAAGACCACTTGACTTTCAGTTGGAAGACCTGGATACTTACTCAGTCTTGCCCAGTTGTTTGTGATACTAGGGATTGAACTCAGGGCTTTCCCATTGAGATACGTCCTCATCCCTTTTTATTTTTTGAGACAGGATATCACTAAATTGCCTAGGGTGGACTCAAATTGGTGATCCTCTTGCTTCAGCCTCCTGAGTAGCTGGAATTACAGGGCTGTGCCACCATGCTGAGCAGTATTTTCATATTAAAGTATTTGGTTTGGTGATTTTTAAGAGGTTTTGTTTTGGTGTTTCTAGGTTTTGTTTTGTTTTGTTTTTTGTTGTTGTTGTTTTGTACTGGGGATTGTATGCATGTGTTTGAGCATGCTAGGTAATTGGTCTATGACTGACCTACATTTTTTCATTTATTAATCACGAGAAATTTGCAAGTAGATCTTCCCCCTTTTTTGAGCCTTTCTCAATTGTTAAGTCTTGCTTTATTGTTATTTAATTGATTTTGGTACTGAGCATTGAACACAGGGCTTCATATATGAATGGTAAATTTTGTTTCTCATTTTTTCCCAAGACAATGTCTTACTGTGCCCAGGCTGGTTTGTTTGTTTGTTTTGTTTTTATGGTTTTTAGACATTTCCATTCTCTAGCTCAGGCTAGCCTCAAATGTGAGGAGATACTTATTCCTCAGCCTCTTGAATGCTGTTCTTAATAGGCATGTGCTGCCTTGCTTGGTTCCAGGCTTGTTTTGAACTCCTTTTTGCCTTAACCTCTTGAGTGCTTGAATTCCAGATGTGTGCCACTATGCCCCACAGGTTCAATTTAGATAATAGATTTTTTAAAAGAAAAACTACTCAGTTTTTGGATTCTATAGAAGTACTTGGGAACTTAAGGTGTGATACTTAAACAATCAGTACTCTGGCTGGGGATTTAGCTCAGTGGTTCTGGTACCTGCCTCGCAAGTGCAAGGACCCAAGTTCAATCCCCAGTACCACCCCCCCAAAAAAAAAAATCAATACTGTGATGTCCATTCTACCCTTGTTTCACTTATAGCTATGCTTTTTTTTTCTTTTGATTTATTTTTTACCTTTTTAAGTTTTGAAACTGTCTCCCCAGCTATGTTTTGTTTGTTTGTTTTTCAGATAGGTCTCACTATGTAGTAGAAACTGAACTGGAATTCACTATGTAGCCCAGACTGGTCTTGAACTCACAGCAATCCTCCTGCCTCAGCCTCCCGAGTGCTGGGATTACAGGCGTGAGCCACCAGGCCCAGCTCCCCAGCTATGTTTTTATCTATTTGATACTTGAGAACCCAAGTTTTGTTGAGGAAAAATCTTATTTTGTTGTCCAGAAAAAAATTTGAAAAGCTCTAATCTAATATTTAGTTTTCTGGCTTGTCTGATACTCCTAGGAAATTACGTAGCATTTGACCCATTTTACTTGAATATATATAGGTAATAAGATGGAAAGATAATACAGGAAGAATGAAAGTTGGTGCAAAAGTACACTGGCTGGAAATTGTAAGCACCTATATCATGGTAATGCCTTACTTTGAATGCCTAATAATTTAGTTGTTTTCACATAATCTTGTTTTACCCTCCATATGTCCCTGTGCATTGTATATTTATACTTTGCAAATGCAGAAATTAAATATGCATGAATATATGCTAAAACAGACACGTGTTGAGCCCAAGTTCTTATTTCTTGTCCTGTTGTTTTGTTCTTGTTTTTGTTTTTTAATTGTGGTACTGGAGATTGAACCTAGGGTCTTTGTGTACTGAGCTACATTCTCAGCCCTTTTTCTTTTTTGAGACAGGATTTGGCTAAGTTGCCCAAGCTGGCCTCCAACTTTTAGTCCTCCTGCATATTTCTCAAGTAGCTAGGATTACAGGTGTGCATCACCTTTCCCGGCTTCACTATTTCCAAAGCAATTTTATTTTATTTTTTATTTGTTTGTTTTGGTTTTTTGAGTCAAAGTCTTGTTATGTAGCCCAGGCTTGGACTACAGGTATACACCACCACACCCGGCTTTTAAAAAAAACTTTAGTCCTTTTTTTTTTTTTTTTTTGGTACCGGGGATTGAACTCAGGTCTTTGTGCTTGCAAGGCAGGTCACGGAACCGCTGAGCTAAATCCCCGGCCCTAAAGAAAGTTTAAACAGGTTCAAACAACCCTCTTCCTCTTCTGTTGTATTGTAATAATAGTCTCTTAGATAAAAGAAGACTTAGTCTAAAATTATTATTAAATTCTTTTTTGTTTTTTCCTTGAGAACATAATTAAACTTTGGATATACAGTCTGAAATATATTGAACAAAGAGGACATTCACTTAGTTAACTTTGGCTTTTTTGTGTCTCAGCTGAAGATTGAACCCAGGGCTTCACATGTGCTAACAGTACAATCTGCCACTGAAGTACACTGGCAGCCCTGTAGTTTTGACGTTTGTTTTTCTTTTTCAAATTTTTATTAATACATTTGTGGTACATAATGATTGCATTCATCATGGGAAGTTGGTACATGTGCATAACATTTCTTAAATTTTTTTCACTTCCCCTTCCTCCCCACTGTTTTTTTTTTTCTTATTTTTGGTATCGGGGATCGAACTGGAATCCTTGTGTTTGCGAGGGAGGCACAGGAAGCACTGAGCTAAATCCCCAATCTGAATATTGTTTATTTAAAAATGTTTCACATTTTAAAAAAATTTTTTTTAATATTGTTTTCACTTGTTGCCTCTCTCCTTTCATTTGGACAGTTCCTGAATTTTCTCTGTATTGCAAGACGTTAATTAACCCTTTTTTTTGGTACTGGACATCAAACTCAGAAGGCAGGCAGGCACCAGAACCACTGAGCTAAATCCTCATCCCGACATTAACATTTTTGAAGCATAGACACCAGTTGTTTTGTAGTGTCCTCCAGTTTAGATTTTTCTAGTGTTGCTTTATGGTTAGATTCACATTCTTTTGGCAGGAATACCACAAAAGTGATGCCGAGTTCTCCTGATATCATACTAGGGAAGCACATGCTGTTGTTGTACCCAGTGCTTGGAAATGTTAATTTTGATCATTTGGTTAATAGCTCCCTATTAATTAACTTCACTGTGAACTTACTACTTAAGCTTTTGCATTTAAAATGTAGCTTTTGTGTATATTTTGAGAATATATGAAAATACATGATTTCTCAAATAGTCCCTCAATAGTGTTAACATCCATTGATGATTCTGTCTGGGTCATTTATGATAATAACATTTGCCAAATACTAACTTTTCTAATTCCATCTTTCCTTTCAACATTTATTAATGCCTACTGTTCTGAGAGGTTTTTCATCAGTTTTTTGTTTTTTTTTCTCCTTTTTCTTTTTTTGCAATACCAGGGATCAAACTCAGGACATTGTGCTTGCAAGGCAGGGGTAGTGCCGTATCAGTTTTAAGATTGATTTAAGTGTAGACTCCTGGATTACTTCATTCAATAGGCTGTGATGCTTACATTGTCCTAGATTTGACCAGTAGACGCTCCATTTAAATGGTTTTTTTTTTTTGTACCAGGGATCAGACTTGGGTCCTTGTGCTTACAAAGCAGGTGGTGGAACCACTGAGCTAAATCCCCAGCCCTAAGATGGATCTTTGAAAACAATATTTAGCTAAGCAGTAACATTTATTCTTTTTGTTTGTTTGTTTTGGAGACAGTCTCTCACTCTGTAGTTCAGGTTGGCCTTGAACTCACAGTGATCCTCCTGCCTCAGCTTCCTAAGTGCTGAGGTTATAGGCATATGCTACCATGTCCAGCTAGTAACATTTATTCATAAAGCCATCTATGTGAATCGAACTTGTCCCACAATTTTCAATATGTGTTAAGATGGAAATGTAGGGTGTTAGGGATAGAGCACTTAGCAAGCTCAAAACCCAGAGTTCCATCCCCAGCACCAAAAAAAGATGGAAAAGTAGTAAGAAACAAGCTTTCAAGATGTCTTTATAGTAAAAGAGGTTATTTTGAGAAGGAGCAGCGCAGAAAAGCAGTTGAGAACCTTTGTCTTAGTGTCTCTTTTGCTATTCTTTAGCTTTGTGGGGTTTTGTTGTTATTTTTGTATTGTTTAGCTTTGTGACTTTAGGCAAGTTAACCTTGTCACCTCACCTGTAAAATATAAATGGTGATTACTATATCCCCCAGTAGGATTACTACTGCATAACTTATGATTTTAAAAGATAATACATATTAAAGCATTTAGTGTGTAGCACATGCTCACCATTAGTTTTAGTTTTAGAATATGAAATTTTAAATATTAAAAATTTTTAAGTTGATACAAAATTATGTATTTATAGGGTATGATATGGCATTTTAGTGTGTCTAATGATCAAGTCAGATTAAATTGATGTATCCATTAGCAAACTCACTTTTTTGTTGGTGAACATTCAAAATCATCTTTACTAACTATTTTGAAATATATAATTAAGTCTTGTCAGCCATGCTTGCCTTATTGTGTTGTAGAACATTTGAAGTTATTCCTCTTATTGAACTGCAGCTTTGCACCTGGTACCATTGCTTGTGCATTCACCCTCCACCTTCCCAGTCTCTGGTTCTCACTATTGTACACCCCACTTCTATTAAATCAACTTTTTTAGCTACCACGTATGAATGAGAACATGCAGTTTCATTTTTCTTTGCTTATTTTACTTACATACTGTCCTCTAGTCTCATCCATATTGCTCTAAGTGACAGAATTTTATTTTTTTAACAGCTGAAAAACACTGTTGTGAATATATATAACAGATATGCTTTTAATTATTCATTCATAGATGGATATTTAGGTGAATTCCATATCATGGCTTTTATGACAATGTGACAATAAATACAGCAGTAAAAGATAGTTTTTAATGACTGATCTACACTGGGTGTAGTGGTGCATGCCTGTAATTCTAGCACAAAGAAGGCTGAGGCAGGAGGATTCCCATGAGTTAAAGGCCAGCCTGAACTATAGAGTAGAAAACCCCAACCTAAAAAAAAAAAAAAAAAAAGAAAGACGGATCTTATTTCCTTTGAATATATACTCATGAGTAGAATTGTTGGGTCATATGGTCATTCTAGTTTTAGTTGATTTTTTTGTTTGTTTTTGAGACAGGGTCTTATTATGTAATAGCCATAGGAGAGATATTTTTTAATATTTTAAAATTTTAACTGACTTGTAATACTTGTACATAAATGATAATTTTAGTTCACGTACACAATGTTTAGAGTATGAAATTTTTACCAACTTTTTTTCTTTATCCAAAATCAGCATCCTTTAGAACATAATGCCAGTCATTCATTCATTTTTGTGGTACTGGGAATGGAAACCAGGGCTTTTTAACTGAACTACATTCCCATCCCTTTTTAAATTTTGAGATAGGGTTTTGCTGACTTCCTTAGGATGGGCTTGAATTTGCAGTCCAGGGCTGGTATTACAGGTATGCACCACCACTACTAGCTGTTACATTTTTTAGACTACAGCTGAGACAAATAATTCAGTGCATTTGTTTTTTTACTGAAGTTTACAAAACATTTAGCATGATTGATGAGATTTTAACAAATTTGAATATCTCTTTTTTTTTTTTTCCCAGAGTGAACCAGAGGAAATGCCTCCAGAAGCAAAGATGAGGATGAAGAATATTGGAAGGTACTATAATCTTTCATAAATACTAAATTAGAGGTATCAACGAAGAACAAAACTTGATTGCACAAAATGTTTGATGTTTTTTTGTTTTTGTTTTTTTAAGACAGGGTCTTGGCTGTATATAGTTCAAGCTGGCCTTGATCTCACTGTGTAGCCCCAGGCTAGCCTTGAATTTGGGGCATTCCTCCTGCCTTAGTCTCCTCATGTACCACCATGCCTGGTTACACATGTATTTTAGTATTCAGGTTTTTCTTGGTTATTTGTGCAAAACAATTTTCAGTATTTTCTGTGTACTAATTCATTAATTGAGGTTTTAAAGATGCATAAATGCTGGACCAATCACAAAGATAACTAATATTCTTTGAGCTATTAGTAATCTTTATTTTTTTTGTTCTGGTAGGAGCAAGTATATTTAAAAACAATTCAGAGCTATCTTTTCTGCTACATGTAGTTATATATCTTGCAGGGTAGGTTGGTTGGTTTTTTTTGAGACAGGTATGTAGCTGTCTATGTAGCCCAGGCTGACCTCGAAATCACAGTGATTATCCTGCCTTAGCCTCCTGAGTGCTGGGATTACAGGCATGTGCCACCACACCCATCTTTGTAACCTGTATTTTTTTTTAAATAAGACAAAAGTTATGAGAAATGTTTTTGATTTTAAATTTAGATTAAGGGCCATGGATGTAGCTCAATGGCACATCACCTGCGTAGTGAGAGGCCCCAAGTTTGATTCTTGATACCAAAAAAAGGGGAAAAAATTAAGATAAGAATTTATTCTCACAAGCCAGGTGTGGTGGCGCACGCCTATAATCTCAGCACTGTAACCCCAGCACTGGAGGCTGAGGCAGGAGGATCACTGTGAGTTGAGACCAGCTTGGGCTACATAGTGAGTTCCAGGTCAGTTTCAACTATATAGTGAGACCCTTTCTCAAATAACAAAAAAAAACAATTTTTTTTTTTTAATTCTCACAAAATATAAAAAAAATGGCTTTTGGTTACTTCACTTAAAATGACAGTCCCACCCCTTAGTCTTGATCTTATATGTACTTTTGCCCTATGTATCTTAAAACAATTATTTCCTCCATTTTTAAAATTAATGTTAGTAAGATGTTCTATTTCCTATCTGTGAGCATAAATGAATACCTCTATGCTAATAAGAAAGTTCATTTTGAGCCCCAGGTGTAGTGGCTTCTGCCTGCAGTCCCTGCACTCTGGATGGCTGAAGTAGGAGGATTACAAGCTGGAGTTCCACCAAGACAATTTAGTGAGACCCTCTCAAAAGGCTAGGGGAGCTGGGGATTTAGTTCAGTGGTTCCACCGCCTGCCTCGCACACGCAAGGTCCTGAGTTCAATCCCCGGTACCCTCCCCCGCAAAAAATAAATAAATAAAAGACTAGGATATAGCTCAATGGGAAAAGCCCTGGAGGATTCAGTTCCCAGCGTGGGGGTGTCAACCCCAACTTTCCTCCCACCCCCATTCTCTGTGTGTGTGTCACACTGGGAATTAAACCCATGTTAGGCAAGTGCTGTACCACAGAGCTACATCTTTGGCCCTTCTTAATTTTTAATTTTGATTTTTTTTTTTTGGTACTGGGGATCAAACTAGGGTCCTTGATGCTTGCGGCAGAACCACTGAGCTAAATCCCTGGCCGTACTTTTTAATTTTGAGACAGTCTCACCAAGTTACCCACTCCCCTCTCAAGTTTATGATACTCCTGCCTCAGTTTCCCATTTAGTTGGAATTGTAGGCATGCTTCACTGTGCCCAGCTCTGTGTCCCCATTTCTACACCAAATATACAAACCCCCTTTAGATTAACTTCAGAATTCATGTATGTACATTAGCTTTTAGAATTTCAGTGAATGGCTTATGTAGAAGCAGTCCCAGTGGCTGCCTGCTTGCCATTTCACTGGAATCCAAGGTAAGAAACTCATCTGACAGTGTTACCAGTTTCATACCCAAGACACATATAAGTAAACATATAATATTGGAACAGAAATTCATAAAATGGAGCAAGGGATTTAGCTCAGTGGTTCTACTGCCTGCCTTGCAAAAGGCAAAGTCCTGGGTTTGATCCCTGGTACTGGGGGCGGTGTGGGGGTGGAGAAATTCATAAAATTAAGTTGTACCATTCTATGTGTAACACATCTTTATATCTTGTGTTCTTTTTTTTTTTACAAATGCTAATGGTAGGCCACTAAGTTGATTTTATGATCTTGTTGAGGGGTTTCAAGCAACAGATTCATTTGGCACAAAAAATTTTGTTAAGATGCTAGGCATTGAACAAGGCTTTGTGCATGCTGGGGTAGGATTTTATACCCCCAGCCCTCAGGCAGTAGTTTGAGAAACTAGTGGTTGTCACCTTTAGCTACATACCAGAATTTGTTAAAGCTACACATTTGGCCTGGAAAGGTAGCTCAGTAGTCAATCACTTACTTACCTAGTATAGGCAAAGCCATGGATTCAACCTCCAGGATCACTCCACTTAGCCCTAGGGAGTCTGAAGTCGTAGAGGTATGTCTGTGAAAAGGGTATTTTATTTATTTGTTTGTTTGGCTACCAAACTCAGGGCCTTGTGCTTGCGAGGCATTTGGCAGCAACAACTGAGCTAAATCCCAGGCCCCTGAAAAGGTTATTTTCTTTCATTTTTTTTGGTACCGGGACTCAAACTTGGGTCCTTGCACTTGCAAGGCAGGTGCTGGAACCACTGAGCCAAATCCCTGGCCCAAAAGGTTATTTTCAAAAATCTCTGTAGAGGCTTTTGTTATTCATCTTATGTTTATAATAGGTAAACAAATGTGTATTAATAAGATTAAAACATAGCTCAAAACATATCTATAACAAATTTCCTTTCTTTTAATTCAGGGATACACCAACATCAGCTGGACCAAACTCTTTCAATAAAGGAAAACATGGGTTTTCTGATAACCAGAAGCTATGGGAACGAAATATAAAATCTCATCTTGGAAATGTCCATGACCAAGACAATTAAATGATATGTTTTGAATTGGGGTGTGGGGTGGGTGTAAAGTTAAAAGGAACAGTTTCCTTTTTTAAGGAATGATATAAGACTATCTTTGGAGCCGCATTTTCTTTTTCATTTTTTTTTTTTTTAAGATTGAGTGGTACACTAATAAGTGAGAGTTTGAAATTAGAGGTAATTTATGTTTTATATACAGATTTCAAGACATTTGCTAATTTTGTAGTTTCATGTGATTAGTTTCCAAAGGTTACAGATAATAAATCAGAAATGGTACCTTTTTAAGAATTGCATATTTTTTTAGACACAACTATTAGCACATTAAGAGGGAAGCAAAAAATTACTATTTAAAATTGTAAGCATTTACTCCTAAATTAACTCCCTCATTAACTAAACTGTCTGGCTCCCAGGAACAGCCTTATAAGAGAAGGGGAGGAGTATCATATTGAAAGGAAAATGTTGCTGGACTATTGACTGAAAGTAAATTTAGATAAAATAGAGTTTTTCCTTATGGGCATTTGTTTTGTTATCATATTATTAGTCATTGCATTGCTATCAGTGGATACAGATGCTTAGCTCTTACAAAAAATAATTTTTTAAAAAAAATTTCTATGTGAAGTATCGAGTATTTGAAATAGCCCATTTCACCTTAATGGTCTTGTCTACCTTCATTAGTCTTCAAAGAACAGCCATTTGCTACCAAAGTAAATCAGTATTTTGAATGTGCTTCTCTTGATTTTTGTTTATTAGCTAGTTCCTGTAAGCATTTCCACCAGAACTTGAGGCAAATCATAAGGAAGCTGTTTCTTTTAAAATACAGACCACCACCAAAAATCTAAATGTACATACTGCTTAAGTATTTGGCTGGTTTTTATTTTTTAAAAGGTATAAACATCAAAAAAATTTAACATTGTAGAAGATGAAAAACAATAAGATGCATTTTCTGTAACTTTGTCTACATATTTACATCACTAAGTTGTTAAATCCAATTTGAATTGAACTCACTGCAGGCTTTCTTATCAGAACAATTATATTTTTTATTTTAAGTGTATATGTACTGCCCACTGGCCTCTCAAGCATATTGTAGGTACCGAAAATAAAAGGAAAGAAAATGCATCTTAAAACATTTTATGGAATTGTTCATCACATACACTGTTAGATCTGTGTACTGTAGGATGTTTTGTTTTGTATTTTTGTATTGTATATGAACTTTTTTAATGTGACAGTTAAACACATCTTTGAAAGCATAGTTACAGACAAAAGAAAAATGATATAGTGATTTCCTTCAGAATTCTTACAATGTAGCCGGGCATGGTGGCGCAGCCCTGTAATCCCAGCACTTGGGAGGCTGAGGAAGGAGGATCGCTGTGAGTTTGAGATCATCCTGGGCTACATAGTTCCAGATCAGTCTCAACTACATAGTGAGACCCTGTCTCAAAAAACCAAAAAAAAAAAAAAAAAAGAATTCCTACAATGTTAAATTTGGAGACAGCTTCAGACTATTTTATTGGTGGTAGTTACTTGCTGATCTTTTTTACTAGGTAGTGACTCCAGAGAAGAAACCTGCACATATGCCTAATAAGTTGTTCTTTTACGTTAAAGTTTCGAGTAAGCCCCAAGTAAAACAATGGAAATGTTCTTACATGATTTAATTATATCAGGATACATGAATTTAACTTTAACTTTTATGTAGGCAAACTATTCATATTTGTCCACTTTACTGTTTGTTAAAATAACATCCCTCTCCGACATACTCTTTTCTTGACCCAAATGAAATACTAATCTAAGGTCAAGATGAGGAGAGTAACGACTGAGATGAATGTCTTTACTAAAATAACCAATAAATTTTGTCAAATTCAGTAGTGTTCTGATTTTCTTTTCTACTTAATTATTGCTTACTCTTTGTTTTTGTTTTTGCTTTTTTTAAACAGAGAAGTTGATGATCAATGTAACTGTACTGCATACCTAAAATGTACCAATAAACTCAATGAATTATCAGTTCTCAAAAAAAAAAAAAAGAGTTGAGATAAATGAAGTGTTGTTGCTCTTGCCCAGATTATTGGCTAAAAGTAAAGGGAAATTTAAAATTCTTAGTTATTAGAGTTCACCTAAGTTAGCACATATAGTTCGCATAATTGCAACAGCTTTAATCGAAATCCTTTTCTACTACCAAAGGATTGTCTGTCTTATGCTTTGGAAATTCTGCCAAAGGATACCCTTGAAAATCTTAAAGGATCCTTTTACTAGTGTCTTCTGTCCCGTATATAAAATTAAGACGATTAAAAAAAAATCCTGTTCATCCAAACAACTTTTGACACATTAAAAAAAATTTTTCTCATTGAGTTTCTTGGTACATTTTAGGTAAACAGTACAGTTACATTCATCATTCATCATTGGGATCTTGTACCTTTACATGACAGGTCTTGGTTCTCATTTTTTCCCCATACCCCTGCCCTCCCTTTACTCCCTTCCCCCTTCCCTTTTATAAAGACTTTGTTTCCATTTTTTTCCCTTTTCTCATATTTTTCTTTTCCCTTATTTCCTTTCCCCTACCATTCCCACTTCCCCTACACCTTTAGCCCTTTTCTTAAACTTTTAGTTTTTCACACCAGAGAAACTATTCAGTATTTACATGTTTTATTTACTTCAATTAAGAGTATGGCCTCAATATGCATCCATTTTCCTATGAATGACTCTATAATTTCTCATGCTTCATGGCTGAGTAGTATTCCATTTTATAGAAAAGCCACATCTTTATCCAGTCTCCAACTGATGGGCAATTGGGCTGTTTCCAAGTTTGAGCTATTACAAACTGTGCCGCTATAAACAGGTGCACATATATCACTGTGGTATGATTCTTTTAATTCTTTTAGAAAGATACCCAGCAGAGGGATGGTTGGGTCAAATGGAATCTCTAATCCTAGTTCTTTGAGGTATCTTCATATTGATTTCCACAGTGGTTGCACCAGCCTTCAAGTATTTTTCTTGTTTGAAGAGTTCTACCTTTAGCTCTCCTTGCTCCCCTCAGATGAAATCTCCCCATTTGTTGTACATATTTTTATTTTTTATCACTTTTTTAGTACATTTATATATAGAGAGAATTTGTACCCGAACCATACGGTGAGACCCTATCTCAACCAAAACAAAAATATATATTGGTAAACTCACTGGTACTAAGGTGACATTGCTTCTAGGCTGTTTAACAGAGCTAGGGAATGGATGTGTACATCTATATTAGTTTCTGTATATATGAATTTTCAATACCAGTCCAACATGAGTTCATTCTAGGTTTTCTGTATTTGCAACTCTTCTCCCACAGTGAGAAGTCTGCCTTCACCAGTATATTCACTTAATTCTGGATATATATAAATAGTTTCAAAGTTGCTAATCCAGTTATTTCCCTCTGAAAAACTATTACTGACCAGAGTGTAGTGTTTGTATTTGTTTTTACTCTTAGACCACATGATGTCTGGTTTTGCAAAGTTACATAACTTGCAATCAATATAGTTGTTACTTATTTGTAATAGAGCAGTTGACTGTGTTTGATAATGGGTCCCCTGGGGTAGGCTATAGCTCAGTGGCAGACAGGTCCTAGGTATAAATCCGTGGCACCACAAAATAACAAAACAAAAAACAGTACCTGTCCATTCTTGTTAATTTTTTTGGTATATGAAATACCACCATAGTTCTTCAAATAATTAATATACATTTTTTCCTGGTCCTTTGTATTTTTTTTTCTTAATAATCACTTCTGCACCTGTCCCAGAAGTAACCTATTCCTGATTTATTTTTATTTCTTTTTGCAAAAATTATCCTTTTCACCTATGTGAAAAATAGCATACCATAATATAGTTATTCAGACTATTTCAGGTGCTGAGGATTGAATCCAGGGCCTCATGAGTACAGCTGAGCTATACGCTTAACACCCCCCTCCCACCCTTTTTTGGGGGATACTGGGGATTGAACTCGGGACCTTGCACTTATGAGGCAAGTGTCCACTGAGCTAAATCCCAGGCCCTCTTAGCCCCTTTTATACTTTGTATTGCCGCTTTGTAGAATAGCTAGGAAATTATACCAGTCCATGGAGATCTGATCTGAAGAAAGAAAAGAAGGAAGAACAAAAAAGAAAGGGAGGGAGGAAGGAAAGAAATACAGCAGTGTAGGGTGGGGAGTGCATGTAGCTCCTCAGAACATGCTTGCTTAGCTTGTACAAGATTCTGGGTTCTCATCACAGGGACAAAAAAAATTGTTTTTTGTTTTTTGGTTTTTTTTTTTTTTTGGTACTGGGGATCAAACTCAGGCCCTTGTGCTTATGAGACAGGTGCCGGAACTACTGAACTAAATCCCCGGCCCAAAAAATTTTGTTTTTGAGACAGGGTCTCAGTATGTAGTTCAGACTATTTTCAACTCTGTGTAGTCTAAGCTGGCCTTGAACTCGTGGTGATCCATGCCTGGCCTCTTTGTTATTTGTGTTTTGTTTTTTTTAAGCTGGCAACTTCACTGTGAAGCACATGCTGGCCTCAAACTCTCAGCAATCCCACCTCATCCTCCTAAATGCTGGGATTATAGTTGCACTTGACACCAGACACCATGCCCTACTATTAACTGTTGAAAACAGGCCCTTGGGTGTAGTTTTTTGTTTTGTTTTGTTTTGTTTTTTTGGTACCAGGGATTGAACTCAGGACCTTGTGCTTGCGAGGCAGGTGGTGGCAACACAGCTACATTCCTGACCCTCTTGGGTGTAGTTTTAATTTGTATCTGAGTGAGGCTGAATGAGTATCTTTTCACATGTTTAAGGGCTATTTTAATATTTGTGAATGGCCTATTCATATTTCTTTATTCCTGGTTTTTTCATACTTTCTCAGAATTTAATAATTCTTTACATATTAACTCCTTATCTATGAATATATTTTTCATTGCTAGTTGTCTTTTGGCTTTGATTATGCTGTTTTGCAGCATGAAAAATATTGTGTAGTAAAGTTTGTTAATATTACTGCCTTTTGATTTTATATTAATAATTACAGAATTTACATATTCTGAAGATTCACCCCTGTAAATTTTGATGCTCGTTTCATTTTCAAAATTTATATAGATCCCTCACCTAGTATATTCCTAAACATTATGAAATGGGGATCTAATTCTAGTTAGCTGATAAATCGAACTGGGGACCTTCTGCATGCAAGGCAGGGGATAGAACCCCTGAACTAAATCCCATCCCTGGCCCAAATCTTAATAATTAAGAGCAATCTGCTTTTGTCTTGAATGTTTTAAAAATTTCTTACAGGTTTTAGATTTGCTTAGCAAGTTTATTCCTAAGTACTTAATCTTTATTGCTGAAATGGGGTTTTCTTTACCATTATGTGCTGATTAACTTTCCTAGATCTGAAGGCACATTGATTTCTCTATATTCTGTATGTCCTACCTTAATTTTTGTTGTTGCTGTTGTCACTGTTACCACTTACTGTTTCTTTAGATTTAAACTATATAAAGTGGGAGACAAAGATGTCTGCCTGTCTCAGGCTGAGCTCCCTGTGGGCCAAAGCCTCCCTTAAAGATTTAAGGGCCACGGATTTTGCTCAGTGGTGCCACCGCCTGCCTTGCAAGCGCAAGGACCTGAGTTTGATACCTGGTACCAAAAACAAGAAAGAGAACAGTGGGATTGTCTTTATCTCATCAGTGATTGCAAACCTTTTAGAGCTTTCAATAACTAAACAGCTGGCTGCCACAGACATGCCATAGGTTTGCCATCACTAATTTTCAGTTTGAGAAACCAGAGGCTGATAAGTTAATACTAGATGGGGGCTGGGCATGGTGATTCATGCCTATAATCCCAGCATTTGGGAGGCTGAGGCAGGAGGATCAGCAAAAGAGTTCAGTGCCCGCCTGGACTACATATGGAGACACTGTCTCAAAAACACAGAAAACAAATCCAAAAACAACCACCACGAGACTGGGTAATTTGTGAATCACAGAAAATCATTTTTTTCAGTTCTGGAGGTGGGAAGTCCACAGTCAAGGAAGAAGCAGGCTTGGTTTTTGGTGAGGACTCCCACCTACTTCCCATGCGGCATCTTGCAGCATCCTCAGAGTGGGAGAAAGACGGACCCAAGGGGTACAGAACAGCCAGCTAGTTTTCTCATCCTTTTATAAGGTACTAATCTATTCATGAGGGTGGGACCCTCGTGAGCTAAACACCACCAAAAGCTGCACCCCTTAATTTGTTGTATTAGG